GAGAGAGAGAGAGAGAGAGAGAGAGAGAGAGAGAACGAGAGTTTAAGAATGTGCGTTAGTTCAGGCCCGTAGGGAGGGGGTGCGACGGGTGCTCCCGCACCCCCCCCCCCACCGGCGGTGGAGGTCCACCTTGTTCAAAAATTTGAGAAATGTCCACGTTTTGAGGTTCGCTTTTGGCTGCCTGTTTTCGTATCATACTGCCTTCAAAACGCGCGAAATGCAGTCTCAGACAACCTAATTTTCAAAATTTTTCGGGGGGGGGCATGCCCCCGGAACCCCCTAGAGACTGGCGGCTCTGGCGCTCGTTAGGTCCGTATACTCGTTGGATCGCATCCCCCCCCACCCCCACCGTAAAAAACTCCCTACGGTCCTGTAGTTCAACATGTCTTGATAATAAAGCAAAAATTACATGATTATAGTTATAGTGCTCTTTAGTGATCACATCTTAATTGTTGCTCATGAAGAGAATAGTTCTACTAAAAAGATAATTGTCGTAGTCAGAATGAAGGCTGTACATTTACTCAAAAGTGCCTCAAATACCATCTCCTGCGATCTACAGTTGCAAAATTTTCGCCTGTGTGCGTACACATCCATTTCACCCTAGCTACGCCCCTGTCTCTATACATACTACGTAAGGGGTTGTTCACAATTTTCAACATTTTCACAAGCGTACAAACCATACGCTGGGGGGAGGGGGTCAATGCCCGCCGTACGCTTTCAGCATTTCCGACAAATGTCGATCCATTTCCCGCGCCGCGCGCCCCAGCCGGCATCGCGCGCATCCTCACGCCGCGACGCGCCGAGCCCCGGCCGGTCCGCGCCCCTCACGGGCCCGCTCAACGAACGAACCGAGCTAGCAGCCGAGTGCAGTGTAAACAACCGGCAGGATGATCAAGATTTCGTTATATCCGTGCTCGTTATAACAGGGATTGCATGTAATTCATATACATGTATCTCTATGTAGAATAGTGTGAAAAAAATCAACAATTTTCTTCGTACACTTTTAGGGGGGAAGGGGAAAAAGTGTACGGTTTGTACGCTTGTGAAAATGTTGATAATTGTGAACGACCCCTAATAGTCTTCAAAGGCCATAGCGAAATAAATAGGGACTATAGCGAAGACGGAAAAAGACAATTAAGTTGATCAAATAGACAAATTAATGTAGGCCTACTGTGTACAATATCAATTAATGTATACTGATTGAAGAGTACATTTGAATTTAAGTAAAAAATTAAGTATAATTAATGTGATTGTCTGTGCAAAGTAACTGTCAATGCGGGTCTGTGCAGTGTGCACACTCTACACGAAATGTATTTAGTATTTACTACCAAATTAAGTCATATATAATGCTCTCTTTCGCCTATTATTACTGATAATTTCGTGTAAATGGCGTCCAAATGCTTATGTGCAACACAAAACTCACAAGTACACCGCACGCACGCCGGTGTGCACAAACAATAAAAGTATATATATAGAGCACACCAACAAAATAAATAACCATATTTTTTCTGCCAGAGCACAACCACTCCATCGTGATTTCCCACAGTCAATATGAGTTAGCAACGGCCCTGGCAATATAACTGATGACCTCAACGAATTCTCTACCATACAGTCAAGGAGACTGGGCAATGGGCTTTGTAAAAATAATTAATTATAAGAAAACTTAATTATAGCAAATAAATTGTATACCATAAATATTGCACCTCGTGGCCAGAGGCGTAGTTAGAGGGTGGGGTCTAAAAGGGGCCATGCCCCTCTTGTTGATCTGAAAGTTAAAAAATAAAATTAAATAATTGTTCTACTCAAAAGAGAATTGTTGTAGTCAGAATGAAGGCTGTACATGTACTCAAAGGTGCATGTGAAGATGTAAAGATGCAAAAATGCTCAAATACCATCTCCTGCGATCTACGATCAAAATGTTC